TGTCACAGAAGCAGAGACAGTGGGAATTAAGGTAGTAATTGGAGATTGAATAATCTGAAGTTGAGTAGCAGTCACCATGATGATTATTTAGGGAGATAATATCGTGAGAAGAAAAGAAATAGGCAATAGAACAAGGAGAAGATTCTGTGAGGCAAAAGAACAAACAGCTGGTAGGCAGAGCAAAAAACTACGAAAGTAGTGAGAAAGAAGAGAGAAAGAAACCCAAGAATTTTAACAAAGAAGAAGAGAGGAGAAGGTACAGACAGAAGAACAGAGAATGTAAGCAAAGAAGAGGAATGCGGAAGCAAAGAAGCTCAGGATCGAACTAGGCTCTGATACCATGTCAGAATAGCAATATTGAACAGAAATTTAACAGAGAGAAGCAGAAATTCTTAGGAGAAGAACTGATGTATTCATTCATTGATTGATTTTCAACACAGTACAGTAATGGTCTTTATATATATTGTTTCTAACCTCCTAACCTCTCTAACTTCTTTAACAGAACACTAACTCTCTAACAGTCTAACAGAACACTAACTTCTTTAAAAACTGTCTAACAGTCTTAACAATATTTCAACAACTCTCTTCTTCAATCTTCTGACATGTGGCAGAGTGAGGACCATTGATATCTTTACACTTACCTGTTTCATTTATACCTCTAAATCTTGAAGTTCCTTTGGGTTTTGAGGATGTCTGCATTACTAATCTCTACCAACTTAGAACCAACAGAATTAAACATGAGGAGCTTTAGCTGGTGTTCCCTGCGCCTATATACTCCTTTACTTTTCATACCATACTTTCAAAGACTAGATCCACCTACACTCCATCAAACTTAAACACAACCCACCACCCGGAAAATACCCAAAATACTGCCATAGAGATCCTATTTCCATCCACAACATGTCCCATGACCAAATATGAGTGAAAGGAGAAGAAGCTGACCAGGTAGTAGTGACCGTGCACGTCCAACAGAAGACTATCTCATTGAGCAATTGGAGGAGTCACTAGGGATATATAATATGAAGGAGGGCTTGGAATTGGTTGGGGTGGTAATCGCTCAGAAGCTCCAGAACAAAGGGCAATCAAGATCATCCTCAAAGTTTCTTGGAAAAAGTATGGTGAAGCAAAGATTGTTTGGGTCAAAGAGAACCTATTTGCCATTACGGTAACTGATGAAGAGATGGCATGAAAAATAATCGATGACCTCCCATGTCTCTTGTGCATGTTTTGAATAATGATGACTTCCCATGTCCTCCAACAAATTAAGCTGGGTAAATGGTTATTTGAAGATACTTGGATTTTCTCATCGGATAGATTGTCATGCGGCATTTTGTGGTGTGGTGTCTTGTTCAGTGAAGGGTTGTCTCGTTTTGATTTGTGTTATGTTGTTATGTTATGTTTTATTTTGGATGTGATGTGCGACACGTAGCTTGTTGTTGTAAGTTACTAATCTGTACTCTATCTCCTAAAAAAAAAGAACTAAACCTTACTTTAGGATGTTATGTCATCAACCCTAGCCTCAAATGTACAAACTTGAAGTACCAAAGGAGAGGACCTTGGGGTGGGGGGGAGGCGAACCCTTTTATCTTCTTCTACTTAAATAGAGTAGAAAAACTTATATGAAATGGGGATAATACTGGTTTAGCCTCGGCCAATCACAGACTGCCAAGTGGAAAAATTATTACGTGTGGCATAATGTGATTGGCCGATGATAGCAAAATGATGTTCAACTCTTTAGGACCCTATTTGATATCAGGGAGGCTATAATGATGAGTTTAAAGTGAGGAGACTATTTGAGGAGGTCAATCTCATCATCAACAAATGTAAAGAAATCTTGTGACTTAAATATTTGGCTTATTTATTGTTTCAAATTTCCTCACTTTACCCCCCATTCTCCTACTCCGTCTCAAATATTGCTCCTTCCTTTCAACGTCGTCTCATTTTCCTGTTAAATGGCTTATCTCTCTCTCTGATCCTTAACCCAACCCCCATTGCACCCCCTCCTCTTTTTCTCTCTTCTCTCTCTCTCTTACTCTCTCTTTTCTCTCATCCTCTCCCTAGACCCAACCCCCAATGCACCTCCATCGCAACCCACAACTTCCCTCCCTCAGCCTCTCTCTCTCTCTCTCTCTCTCTCTCTCTCTCTCTCTCTCTCACACACACACACACACACACACACACACAAAATCTCAGCCTCTCTCTTTGCTCCTCTCCCCTCCCCTCCCCAAACCCAAACCTAACTCTCCATGGAATTACTCAACACACCCAAACCATCAACACTCAAAATTTTATAAAAAAAAA